AAAGTAGAAGTTTTAAAAGTAATACATGTATGCTTTCCCCATACTCAATTAACTTTAACTAATTAGTAAATGTTAATTAAGTATGGCTGTACATTGGCTTTAATCTAATCTCAATTTCTACACAACGATTCTTTCTTTACCGATTGTTCGCCAAGCAGATTAATTTTATCTCGGGGAAAGAAAACTTTGCTCCCATATAATCTCTCCCGGCCCCTATCTCCGAGGGGTTGGGGTCGGAATGCGCCAATCCAAGACAATCTAGGGACTTTTTTGGCAGTAAGTTCTGTCATATCTGATGTGCTTGTATCCAAATGTTTATGATGAAAAGCAGAAAAAAAAACAGTCATTTAATTCCTTTTCTTTTTAAATCATTACCTGTATTCTTTTTTATTCGGATATAGATTTAGCTATTTTTAGGATTTTTTGTCCCAACTCCAATTTAAGTGAACCATTCTTCTTATTTATTAAATTTGGGTCTGGAATCCTCACAGGATATCACATGTTATATTCACTTATATATTTGAAAATTAGATTAAATCAAACAATACCCATAATTAAAACCATCCACATTCCATTAGTCCTACGGCATGCCAATCTGTCTGTCTGCTAATAAACATAAATTTACAAAGATTTATAAACTCTCTCTCTCTCTCTCTCTCTCTCTCTCTCTCTCTCTTCCCCCTTTCTTGAATCGCATTAAAAGAATTACACTACGATATCAACGCATTATGCATTTAAACGCCACGCGCCTGGGCAATTCAAAATTGAAATAACTTAGCATGAACAAACGCCACGCGCCACTGCTGTTTATTTACTCGTCAACAGAGCAAGTCAGCACCGGCGGTTCACGAGCGCTCGTCACGGTTCACGGAACACGTTGTCGGATCGTATCGTCGCCGTTTTTACCTGGGAGTTTAACATTAACAGACGACCAAAATACCATGTCGGTCCATCGCTGCGAAATGAGAGATGAAACCTAAATTTAATTCAGCTGAAAATTAAAAATTACGGTGATAATTTTTCTAAAAAGGATGACACAATTGCTGGATTTAAATTTTGTCTGGGAGAAACTCAAGTTCCTTTTCTTATGCATATGTAAGTATTTATTGTACCTGAGAAATTCATCTGGCAAATTCATGTGTTTATGTAAATTCCACAAATAATCTCTTTCTTATCTGTATTTTTCTGTTTATTCCGTAGTAGTCAATCTAGGCACTTAAGCTGATGAAACGCGCTAAACGATTTTTTTTTTCGAAATAGAACAATTTTTGATATATATCTAAGAATGTTCTCTGATGCTTTGTAATTTGGTTAAGTCTTCAAATTCAAGCAAAATAAGTTTCGGTTCTGTTTAATTTTCCCCCAATCCTACGATCCTAACTTTCTACCATCGAACTGAATATTTTGAAACTTTATCATACTTCATTAAGAAAGTCATTTCGTCAGTCGACGGTGGAAAATTTTCATATACCCTAGGAAATTGCCAAGTTTTTCTATTAAAATATTTGCTGTTATTAAGTTTGTTTGCAAAAATGACTTTATCACGAAATGCCTTTTCTTAAATTTCAAACCAATAATTGATCAGTCAGAAATGACATAGAATGGATCTGTCATCTTTAACACATCATTTCCAATAAGTGGTTTTTCAAATTACACCAAAAAACCTAGTTGCCATTTAAATCTTTCAGGACAAATTGTTGTAAATTGTATGATTTACTTTGACGAGGAAAATATTTTTTCCATTTTGTTTAATTCACAAATCACAAGTCATTTTTTGAAAGAAGACAGCCTTGTGTTGCCCGATAGAGACATGATAATTATGTAAACTTAGGGGATCATACGTTTTTAAACATAATGGCATTCTTCCGTGTCGTCAATCATTTTGCCATTTATGAATTTCATTAACTTATAAATTGCTATTTGAATTAGTTTAATGAATTCTAATAGAACTTTTAATTCTTGTTTAAATATCCCAGGCACCAAGTCCTGCACGTATCCAGAGAAGCAGTTTACCATTTAGTTCTCTTTACTGAATTCCGTACTACGATTTCATTTCCAAATTGATACATATCAATTTGAACACTTCGTCCGTATACCTCTGGGTCCATATTGCAATTATGGTGGCCCTTGGAGTATATATAAACCCTCTCTAAAATCGATGTTTCCCAGCTAATAAATGAAAAGTTTCTTCATTTTCTGTGTCTATATAATGTACAGAGAAATCGATTTCTGCCGAACACCCAATTAACGAATTAAGTCAATCTTCCTCTGGTCTCAATCTTAGAGTATTTGCAACAGATGTAAATTTTTAGCCTGTCTTGGGGCAAATGTACCTTAAAGACTAAACTTAAAGGCCACCCTGTCTACATTTAATAAAATAATTAAAGTTTTGGAATGTCTGCAATCATGTCCAATTGTATTATCCCGCGCTTCTATCTCTATACCCAGAATAGCTGCAAATTAAAGCATGTTAGTATTCGACAACATAAAAGCAATATTACGTCTATTAATATCCCTTCATATTTGCCAAAGAACATAATAACAGATAAATGTCGGGTTTCTTCTTTTCTTGTTTTTTTTTTTGTATAAAAGTAATCGTACAAGCACATTCCCCATACTTCCATACATTTAATCGCAAAATATTTGTTGTATATTGGGATCCTGCGTTAAAAGCACGCAACACAGATGCCTCGCTTTATACTCGATTGTGATTACTTTAATTCAGTTTATATAAAATTTTTACTATTCAGCCAGATCGATGTTTATCACGACAGAGCTCCGACTTCCCGGGCCCTGGATTTTATCAAACGAATTGACTGTGGGCTTGTTCTGTTTATAAGCTCTCAAGTAGACAGGCAGGCTAGGTAGCGGAGTCCGTCAAGTACTTATTGCCCATTTCATTTTTGTATGTGTCTGTCTTTATTGAAAATATCTCTCTCTCTCCTCTCTCTCTCTCTCTCTCTGGTTTAAGGGTCTTCCATACATTTAGTTAATAGTTGGAAATAAGAAGTATTGTGCATCATAATATGTATACCATAGTCGAATTTTCATACTCCTTCAGTTTTCTGTTCAAAAACACCCATGGAAATAAATTACAAATTGATCCATCCGCACTATTTTTATCAGTTTTATATAATCTCAAAAAATCTTAATGCATGCATTGCTAGAAATATTTTTTGTAACTTTATATGATAATTCTATTGAGATATAACCAAACTATCGTTTTAAAAACGAATGCAGAAAAACTATTCAATGCGATTCACGTAATTCTGTTTCAAAATTCTATCAACACGATAATTTATCACTTTTTGTCTCTCTGAACGCCTACAAAACAATAAGCACTGGAATTTTAGAAGAATCCATAGCAGTTTATTCACTGATATTTCCTGTTATGTATTAAACATAACCTCTTTATTGTACATAAATCGATCTATCAGTTCAAAACAATCAATCAAGTGCTCTGCAGATTGCAAATAGACTTCCCCCTCACTCGATTTGTATGCATATTAATTGAGGAATAGAAGTTAATTGTAGCTCTTAGCAGAGAGAGAGAGAGAGAGAGAGAGAAGAGAGAGAGTCCCCCTTATGCATAAACCTTATTCTTTATTCTCGACATAAAATGGGATACATTAAAGCAATTAGAGAATTACAACAGAAGTACAGGTGTAGGAGGTTTTCAAGGACAAATTCCAAACTAACTGGAGTCCGAGATTATTCTCGGATAAAAAGTGGAAGAGGGAATCCACCGGGTCTCTTTCCTTTCTGCCTTACCCTCAAAACAGACAGACCTCACTTTGCAACAAGCATGAATACATTCAAATTTCCGCTCTCCACTCATCATTTGAGTCCTCTCTTCTTTTAGCTTCTTTAAAACCAGACCCCCCCCCATGTACCTTTGACACTCTCCGCTACCCCTACCCTCTCGGTATATTCACATCAGTTCCATTTAAAAGAGATTTAGTCTATATCTGCAATATTCCCTTGATCATCTTTGATAAACTTAGATTTATGTAATCATTTCGGTTTACGTTTTTCAATCTTTGCTTTTCTAAAAAATACAAAATAATCTTGCAATGGCATCCGTATTCAAAATCTTTTTATTTGTCTAAATATTGTCAATGGCCATTAATTCCGCGCCTAGTATTTACTATTTAGTAATAATACCGGCGCCTTGACGGAGCATTGACTATTCTACTTCACTAATCATTTGGCCCTGTTAATCCCCACTTGAGGGGGACGTCGTCCAGTCTTAATCCAGGCTTCGTCTGATAGCGGGAATTAGACCAGTATTTACGGAATCAGCTGACGACCTTCTTATAGTTCATACAATGTTCTACCAACCCCCCAGTCATATTTATCAAAATGAACCTATTCCTTACGCCTTGTTTAATTTCAAAGATGAGAATTAAGTCTTTTCTTTTGCGCATTTAAAGTGTATGCCAAAAAGAAAGAACTATGTGTATCTACTGCACGTAGTGGATTATGGCCGTTTAATTCGTATCCAGGAGCCCACGGGGATATACTGATTTATTTTGGGGGAAATTCTCCAATATAACTTTATTTCACATTAGACCCAATTCTGTAGAAGTACACGCGAAACCTTGACAAAAATTTTAAGAGAACAAACAAAAAGTCTAATCTTTTCTTCAGTTTTTTTTATCGAAAGCAAATCGTAAATAATTGAGAAAAAATTGGAACATTTGAAAATAACTTTGATATCCAGACCCAGTGAGAGGGTGAACAGAGTGGTCCTTCTTTTTTAAAATATAATATATTGTTAAAGTGATAGTTATATGTCATTTGTTCTCTTTTCTGATAAATTCCAGGATAAGAACAAAAGTGTACCAAAAAACTGAAAGAAAACCCGCACCTGTTTGAGCTGAGGAAATAACATTTTCGATTTTTCAGTTTATTAATCTTTCTTTTATTTGCTTTGTCGGCTCTTTTCTCAGAAGCATTTTGGAAGCCCCCCTCCCCTCCCCCAAATTTCAAAATTTGCTAATGAGATTTATAAATTATAGATCAATGTATAAATTTTCACTGGTGTTTTAAAATAGAAAAATGAATTTTGATTGGCCTGTACTGATAGCACAGCTCCCCGTGGTTGATTTTGAGCTGAGATATGGGCGTCAGATTTGTTCGCTTGACACAGTGGTGACAGTCCTTGTATATTAATGTCGGAAACACTCTTCCACCTAATTCATTGCATTGTTTGTAAGACCCTGACAGTTCACGAGGGGTCACAAGACATGTCGTCTGCAGATCAACCACGGGAAAAACAAAATCAAATATCTGTACATATAACATACCGGGCTCCGATATACATAAACTAGTCTAGCAAGCCCACGACTAGACTAAGTGGCGATACATATATAAAAGAAATGCATTTTTACTATTATTGTTATCAAGTAAATCTTCAATTATTTAAAAACAAAGAACTAAAACCCAAAGAAAGTTCTAGAGGACAAAGTGGTGAGGTTGACATTTCTTGACAAGCCAAAAAAAGTGGTCATAATTTAAATAAGTTATAGATTTTAATTTTGTTTGTACAAAAAATTAAATAGATAAAAAAAATGGATGGAAGGGGAAGGGGCTCTAGGTTCTATCCTGGTGGACAAAATCCAATTCCGTACCATACTTACAGGATAAAAATGAGCTCAGTAATAAATATTTATGGAAACAGGTATGCAAACAGACAACAAAATTACAGAGAGACAATAAAAATACATATAAATTAATAAATGAATAAATAATTAAATTAAAAAAATTGAACTTCAGACTTTAAAAATTCATACAACCTTCTGCTACCCTTTTAGTATGAAAAATATGAACAAAATGGTGGGGACTATTTTATCAATCGTTCTCTGAAATAATACTACAAACCACAATATGCACAATTTATTGACATATCAGTTATTATATAAATATCAGTTATTGCTACAAGGTAAATATCTATTTAAGTTAGTGTAAAGGTTAACAGTGAATAAACATTTGATGGTACTATAAATCATGTTGCTACTGACTTAGATGGCTTTATTTAGAATGACACGTATCATTATAATGCATGCTGTACATTGTTGACAATGATCAAGACGGAAATATGGCATTACTGACGGCAGATGTATATTCACGAAAAAAAACAAACGAAATGCAGTGTCTTCCAATGTCGACCTTCACTTACTACTGAGTTGCTTTAATTTTGAAAAATGGACGAATAATATTGTAATAAACTCTCTCTCTCTTTCTCTCTCTCTCTCTCTCTCTCTCGTGTGTGTGTGTACATAAAAATCGTATCTGCTATATTTTTGACGCCAAAATTACAAGTTTAGATAACAGTTTAAAGGTAAATGTAAACTAGCTTTGTCAAATATATACTAGTATATATATACTAGTATATACATAGTGATAAATCATCGCCTTCTTTCAAAAGTACAAATTTTACAAAATAAAACAGCGATAGCCGAATTTGGTAAATTGAATGATGTTTCAGCTCAGTGTATAGGATACCAAAAAAAAAAAAAAAATCTTGAATGTCTACTTTTTATAAATAAAGAATTTCCATGGTCATAATAACACTAAAACATAACGTCGTTACGGATAAAATTACATGTTCACATACCAAATTGAAAATACTTTTCACACTTTCCTTGTAATTTTTCAGTTATTGACAATGGGTGATTATTTATTTTTAATTTTCAGGTCTGCCTTACTTTGCATCTGGTACTTGTCCCGATGACGTCAAAAGTCAAACCAAAACCTGCTTCGGGGATTATGAGACGAAAATAGCGGGGATTCTAACCCCCGGGAATTCTATCATATCGGGGGTGGACGCCGAGAATATTCGTCTTCTCTGCACGTATGTATAATTAAATCTGTAAAAATCTGCATGTATATTATGGATAATTCCTTGTGTTCTAAGAATGATTCCTTATTTTCATTTTACATTTTAACTTTGCGTGAAATTAATGCAAGATAGACAAAAAAGGGTATGGTATGCACGTGTACAAAACATTAAAGATTTTATCTGGTGATAAAGGAGGTGTAAATTAAGCCTTGACACGACACGAAGACTTGAAATTTATTTTAAAAATAGATTAACAAATGTTTCCATCTAAGAATCATCAATTTGATTAAAATCAACAATTGCTATATAGTCATTTAAAAATGCCTATAAAAATAAAAACTCTCTATACAACCTAACTTTTATAAAATTAAACTGTAACAAATTGCACAAGTATATCTAAGCTAGATAACTTACTACATATAAATGAGTATATGACTTATATATTTCCATTTCTAATTTTTTTCTCTGCGATAACTCTTTGAAAGTTGTCGGAGTTTATTTCTTGATAATTCTGCCGAAATGTAAATTAGGCAGGTCGATAGGTCAGAAGTTAAGAAGGCCTAAAATGCATGTAAATCTCGTGCGCATCTGTCTCTGTGTCTGACGCTAAGGAGGCAAAATGTGCATGTAAATCTCGTGCGGCTGCCTAGGTGTTTGACGTCATGAGGATTACTGAAATTGGCATGGAAATTTAAGTCTATGTCTACAATTTTAAAGTCTAAATCTACCATTTTATTTACAATGAAATGAAAATATATGACTTATATGTCCTTAAATGTATGGTTAGTCGGACTTCACCCTGAGAAGACGTATTTCATTTTGAGTGCATTACATAATCTTTATCATCAGCAAATCACGTTGAGAACTTAATATTTCATCAGACATTATAGAGATCATCGATACTATAATAACGCTGGGTTATATAACTTTATTTTTTGATTTATGCCTCATTAATGCACTTTGATGTATCCGTAGACAAATGTCTTTGGGGGCTTAAGCTCGTTTACTGAGTTTACGGCGGGAGTTGAGCATTAACGTCTATCTGGAGAACTGGTTTAACTATAAAATAATTCCAAACCAATATTGAGATTGTGGGAGGTGGGTGCCTAGTCATCTAATTAAGATGCCCTAAGTTAATTGTTTTATTATTATTTTGCAGCCGATTCTTTGAATATTTTTACTTCCACAAAATTAAGTTTAAATAATGCTAGAACGCACCGCCAAAAATTGGGATAAAATAAAAAAAATAATTTTAAATAATTTCACCATCCTTAAAAGCAATTGACAAATTCGTGAGAGTTCGTGCACGTTCTAACTACGGGCAAATTGATCTTTACCATTACGGGCTGTCAGACATCGAAAACGTGCGTTTTACTGGCATATTTCGGTCGCATTATTACAAGAGCTCTTGGTCAACACCGGGTGCACTTGAACTCGAAATCGCAACCAAATAATTCCACGCTAAGATACAAGTTTGTCACCGGTTTTCTCTCCAACCCAGCGCTGGTGGAGTTCTTTTAAAACACGAAAACGTTAACAAAACTATTTCAGAAAAGAAAACGAAAGTGATTCGTGTAAACAGAGATAAAAGGCGTTTAATTTAGATGACTGGGTTGTGGTGCATATTGAAAGGAAGGGATCGTTTATAATGGGTTTTTATTTTAGATGAAACTTACAAAACATTAGGCACTACCAAAATATTTACAGAAAAACTATTACGGCCCATCTCCATTCTCAAGTACGGACCGAAAGCTTGCAGCCCAAACTGACAAAATATCTCCAAGAAAGATTATGGGAAGACATGTTAAAAACGAATGACCAAGATTGAAGGAATGCTCTTCCTTAGTATAAATTCAATCCATCAAATTGACATATCTGTGCAACCTGCATACTTCGTTTGACAAAGTTGCTGAATAATGGGCTCTCTATCTTGATTCTGCATTAATTTTAATGATGAAATATCATACTTCACATGTTAAAAACATTCAAGGAATATGAATTGTATCTTTTTATATGTACTTTCCAATTGATCATGGTTTCATTTTCATTAAATTCATCAAAATATTTCCCTACTTTCTAATCCAAAACTTTCAATGATAAATTATCATGAAATTAGTCGAACAGATTTAAAGTTTAAGATTTTCACACCAAACTCAGTATATGATAGTCGGCCGCGTGGAGCAGTGGTAAGAATGTCTCCTCTAGAATCGCGGAGTAAGGAGTTGGTCCCTATGTTCGAATCCCACTCTGGGACGTGGAGGCCGCCAAGCCTGTCTTTTGGATGAAACCCAGTAAACTGAGGTCCCGTGTTGCAGTACGTGCTGGCACGAAAAAGAACCCTTACTGCTCAATAGCCCTTGATGCCAAGAATAAGATAAAATTTGCAGCTCTCTACCGGCACGTATTGGCGTCTCCATATGAGTGTATAAAAAAGTGTATACTAAGACCTTTGTGTGGACCTAATCGTCACCCAAGCTTAGTTTATACGATAATATGCACTTCTATCCAAACACACAACCACAATATTCTCTACAATCCAAACACACCACCACAATATTTTCTACAATCTAAACACACCACAACAATATTCACTACAAGCCAAACACACCACCACTATATACTCTACAATCCAACACCACCACAATATACTCTACAATCCAAACACACCACCGCAATCTACTCTACAATCCAAACACACCACCACAATATACACTACAATCCAAACACACCACCACAATATACTCTACAATCGAAACACATCACCACAATATACTCTACAATCGAAACACACCACCACAATATACTCTACAATCCAAACACACCACCACAATATACACTACAATCCAAACACACCACAATATACACTACAATCCAAACACACCACAATATACAGTACAATCAAAACACACCACCGCAATATAATCTACAATCCAAACACACCACAATATACTCTACAATCCAAACACACCACCACAATCTACACTACAATCCAAACACACAACCACAATATACACTACAATCCAAACACACCACCACAATATACTCTACAATCCAAACACACCACCACAATATACTCTACAATTCAAACATACCACCACAATCTACACTACAATCCAAACACACCACCACAATATACACTACAATCCAAACATACCACCACAATCTACACTACAATCCTAACATACCACCACAATATACACTACAATCCAAACACACCACCACAATCTACACTACAATTCAAAACACACCACCACAATATACACTACAATCCAAAACACACCACCACAATATACACTACAATCCAAACACACCACAATATACACTACAATCCAAACACACCACCACAATATACACTACAATCAAAACACACCACAATATACACTACAATCCAAACACACCACAATATACAGTACAATCAAAACACACCACCGCAATATAATCTACAATTCAAACACACCACAATATACTCTACAATCCAAACACACCACCACAATCTACACTACAATCCAAACACACAACCACAATATACACTACAATCCAAACACACCACCACAATATACTCTACAATCCAAACACACCACCACAATATACTCTACAATTCAAACATACCACCACAATCTACACTACAATCCAAACACACCACCACAATATACACTACAATCCAAACATACCACCACAATCTACACTACAATCCAAACATACCACCACAATATACACTACAATCCAAACACACCACCACAATCTACACTACAATTCAAAACACACCACCACAATATACACTACAATCCAAAACACACCACCACAATATACACTACAATCCAAACACACCACAATATACACTACAATCCAAACACACCACCACAATATACACTACAATCCAAACACACCACCACAATATACACTACAATCCAAAAACCACCACAATATACACTACAATCCAAACACACCACCACAATATACACTACAATCTAAACACACCACAATATACTCTACAATCCAAACACACCACCGCAATCTACTCTACAATCCAAACACACCACCACAATATACACTACAATCAAAACACACCACCACAATATACACTACAATCCAAAACACACCACCACAATCTACACTACAATCCAAACACACCACCGCAATATACACTACAATCCAAACACACCACCACAATATACTCTACTATCCAAACACACCACCACAATATACTCTACTATCCAAACACACCACCACAATATACTCTACTATCCAAACACACCACCACAATATACACTACAATCCAAACACACCACCACAATATACACTACAATCCAAACACACCACCACAATATACACTACAATCCAAACACACCACCACAATATACACTACAATCCAAACACACCACCACAATATACACTACAATCCAAACACACCACCGCAATATACACTACAATCCAAACACACCACCACAATATACACTACAATCCAAACACACCACCACAATATACACTACAATCCAAACACACCACCACAATATACTCTACAATCCAAAATGCACCACTACAATATACACTACAATCCAAACACACCACCACAATCTACACTACAATCCAAACACACCACCACAATATACACTACAATCCAAACACACCACCACAATATACTTTACAATCCAAACACACCACCACAATATACACTACAATCCAAACACACCACCACAATATACACTACAATCCAAACACACCACCGCAATATACTCTACAATCCAAACACACCACCGCAATATAATCTACAATCCAAACACACCACAATATACTCTACAATCCAAACACACCACAATATACTCTACAATCCAAACACACCACAATATACTCTACAATCCAAACACACCACCGCAATATAATCTACAATCCAAACACACCACCACAATCTACACTACAATCCAAACACACCACAATATACTCTACAATCCAAACACACCACCGCAATATAATCTACAATCCAAACACACCACCACAATATACACTACAATCCAAACATACCACCACAATCTACACTACAATCCAAACATACCACCACAATATACACTACAATCCAAACATACCACCACAATCTACACTACAATCCAAACACACCACCACAATATACACTACAATCCAAACACACCACCACAATGTACACTACAATCCAAACATACCACCACAATCTACTCTACAATCCAAACACACCACCACAATATACACTACAATCCAAACACACCACCACAATATAATCTACAATCCAAACACACCACCACAATATAACTACAATCCAAACACACCACAATATACTCTACAATCCAAACACACCACCGCAATATAATCTACAATCCAAACACACCACCACAATATACTCTACTATCCAAACACACTACCACAATCTACTCTACAATCGAAACACGTCACCACAATCTACTCTACAATCAAAACACACCACCACAATATAATCTACAATCCAAACACACCACCACAATATACACTACAATCCAAACATACCACCACAATCTACACTACAATCCAAACATACCACCACAATATACACTACAATCCAAACATACCACCACAATCTACACTACAATCCAAACACACCACCACAATATACACTACAATCCAAACATACCACCACAATCTACACTACAATCCAAACACACCACCACAATATACACTACAATCCAAACATACCACCACAATCTACACTACAATCCAAACACACCACCACAATATACACTACAATCCAAACACACCACCACAATCTACACTACAATCCAAACATACCACCACAATATACACTACAATCCAAACACACCACCACAATATACTCTACAATCCAAACACACCACCACAATATACTCTACTATCCAAACACACTACCACAATCTACTCTACAATCGAAACACGTCGCCACAATCTACTCTACAATCAAAACACACCACCACAATATAATCTACAATCCAAACACACCACCACAATATACTCTACAATCCAAACACACTACCACAATATAATCTACAATCCAAACACACCACCACAATATACTCTACAATCGAAACACACCACCACAATATACTCTACAATCAAAACACACCACCACAATATACACTACAATCCAAACACACCACAATATACACTACAATCCAAACACCACCACAATATACTCTACAATCCAAACACACCACCACAATATACACTACAATCCAAACACACCACCACAATATACACTACAATCCAAACACACCACCACAATATACACTACAATCCAAACACACCACCACAATATACACTACAATCCAAACACATCACCACAATATACACTACAATCCAAACACACCACCACAATATACACTACAATCCAAACACACCACCACAATATACACTACAATCCAAACACACCACCACAATATACACTACAATCCAAACACACCACCACAAATCCAAACACACCACCACAATATACTCTACAATCAAAACACACCACTACAATATACTCTACAATCCAAACACACCACTACAATATACACTACAATCCAAACACACCACCACAATATACACTACAATCCAAACACATCACAATATACTCTTCAATCCAACACCACCACAATATACACTACAATCCAAACACATCACAATATACTCTTCAATCCAACACCACCACAATATACACTACAATCCAAACACATCACAATATACTCTTCAATCCAACACCACCACAATATACACTACAATCCAAAGACACCACCACAATACAATCTAATAACATCTCCTGTACGATTTTTTATATGGTCACTATCATATGTAAATCAATATACTCTACAATCTTTTTCATAGTCTTTTTAAGTCTTAACCATTTTTTTTTTAAAATAAAAATTGAATTTATAACAAATTTGGGGCTAGGGGGCAACGAAAATTTTTCATTGAAATAAACATTGGCATTTTTGCCGCTGTTCATAAATTTATAAATGAATCTTGTTGATTTAGCTATATATATTATTGACTCTTATTTGTACACGTTTTTGCTACCATTTTGCATGACAATTACTGTGATTTTTTAAGGAGAAGAACTAGTAAGATGTTAGATTTTGTTTCTTATCTTTTTGCTTGTCAATAAAATATGATCAAAACAAAAACAACAAATTTGTTGAATTTGTCTATTTTTAGTGGGTTTAAATATGGAGAGGCCTGTGTTGCTAATTTGAAATCAAAATGTCCACTGGATTCGGCCCCCATAGAGGAGGAGCTCCTCCAGCTGACCTTAGCAGAAGAGGAGCTAAAAGTCCTGTGTCGAGACGACTCCTTATATGATGGTAAAACTAAATACTCTATTTTGTTTTTCAAAGCAATGTTGTCAAGTTTGACGATATATCAATATTTCATGGAATTCTTTACAGGTTTTCAAGTTTTCAAAGTCAGTTTTAGAGTACAGATTAAATAATTTCAGTTAGCAAAGCACAGTTTTTGAACACTCTAAAAAGTTACAATTCTCTACAGCTATCTTTAAGTTCCTAAATAACAAACCCCAGCCCAACGAATGGAATAGTAAAGAGCTTTGTCAATAATTTAAAAAAAAAATCTTTCAATTTCAAAAACATTTTGCTATTTAGAGTCAAATACAGATTTACTGTCTACAATTTGATTGATGGCTTTTTTTCTGCAGTACAATTTAACCATGTTATGCTCTTAGACAGCTTTTATTTCATTTAAAATGCATATGCCTTGACATATTATAGTTTTGATAGGCATGTATGTCTGCGCACTTTGCCTGCTGTAACCTCAAAGCACATGATTTAAATGATTACAAACGCTTTAACTTTGAAGTCCAACATTTGAAGGCGTTCTATTTGTTTTTATCTTCCAATATAATTAATATTCATTCTACAGTGTTCTCCGCCTATAATTAAATAAAAGAAAAATTCATAACAGATTAATTCTTTTTGAAAGCACACAGTTATGAAGAAACGCACTTTGCTCTTTGATGCAGAGCAAGCTTAGCTAAATCGTAAGGGTACAGTTTAAAAAATTACGTTACTCCTCCCGGAACTTTGATTATGAAAATATCTTTTGTTTTACTTTACATAGATTTGTCACAAAGAAACGTATGATGCCTTGGAACCTTACAGAATCAAAGCACAAATTTCTTCTAAAAAGAGCTGCTGTTCAAAAATTCAATACGTTATGCAATTCTCGTGTAATTCTCGTGTAATTATCGAGATAATATCGCGCGTATGACTACTTAACGTTGATATATCTCAATCAAAGTTCATCCTTCAAATGCCAAACACTGCTTTTAATGTAATAATCATGAGCAGATCCGGTAGTTAACAACCTTCTCCGATAAAAAAAAATCCCTTGCATTGCTGGAAAGAAGCATACACAAACTGGTCCAGTCAAATATCTGAATTTAATACAAACTCTCGCATGGAGAAGGAGTCGTTAGGTAGACATGAATTGTGGCGCCATCTTCATAAAGAGAAAAATGTATTTATATCATTAGAGACAGTGTGTTTGAAGATTTGGTTATGAGGGCGATTTCTGGAATGTCTTGTTCTGCATGTTTATCCAAAAAAACACCGAACTGTGTTCGGGGTCAAACCTCTTTCAAAGAAAGTGTTCACTACAAAAAAATGTTTGTACTAAATGTAGCATTTTTTTTATCAGGATGATTTCTTTGTACAGTGTAGCTAGAAAAATTGACTGGGAGTTGAATCAATAATAAAAATGTCATATACAAAAGTTAACAACAGCCATCCCTGTCTTCTTTTTCATCTGAACAGATGCATGTACATGTAAATAAACCTTTCAGTATAATATCCACTTAATTTATTTATATATAAACTTAGTTTATATTAAAATAACTACGTCTTATGTCAGACAGTGTATATAATATGGTCAATAAATCTAAAAAAAAAAAAAAAGATCTTTCATTTGATGAGAACATATTTTCTTTATTTCAGTTTATGCACGAAATAGATATTGCTATGAGAAATCGGGAATAGCCAGTGAGAAATGTTTCCGAGATGTAATGAATTCCTCTGTCCGGATTATAACGGATTTAGACCAGAGGTCTGTCACAGGATTTTGTGGGTGAGTACCTTAAGTGGATGTAAAAAGTGTTCCAAAGCAAATTTTTTACAAGTCGAACACGCCTATGCTTAATTTGATCGCTGTAAAATTACTCTTTTCATTAGCCGATTCGACTTATAAGATTGAGTGAGATAGAAAATATATTTTGTTTTAAAAATTTAACTTACTAACTAAATAAATAGATAAATTAAAAAAATAGATCAATAAATGAATAAATAAATTGATAAACAATTTAATAGATAAACATGTATATATGGACGCATAAGTACAGCATGTCAAGTAGAAATACGTTTATTCGTATGTACATGTACATGTATAGTTGATACATGTACACGAATGCAAGTTCCGTAGCATAATTACTGTCAATAAATTCCAAATAAAGGGGTTTGTTGATAACTTTTCAAATGATATGCAGAAGTTCAATAAATTCTTAATAAAAAAAATAATAAAAATTAAATAATAATATATCTAAAAAATCAAATAAATGTTTTGCATGGGAAAAAATTCTTTGCCGAACGAATAATGCGACCTTGTCTTTTTACAAATAAATTACAGTCATTAAATGAATCAACAAGAATAAAATTAGGTGCTTCCAAATGAAAACGGCAACTATTTTTCAAAAGTAAAATAAAGTGATAAACGAGGACAGACTACATCATTCTGAGTCATGTAAAAATAAGACAATATTTAAACCATTATTTACATTGTATAATCTGTTTGTCCTAAGGACAAAATCATATTTCTACTTTCAGTCTTACAAATTTTAAATTAAAGAACTAAAAATAATGGACTTTCCAAAGATTGACTGCTTGATTGATTGTATATTGTTTAACCTCCCTCTCGACAATTTTTCACTCATATGGAGACGCCACTACTTGCCGGTGGAGAGTTGTAAATTTTGTCCTATACTCGGCACTTAGGGCCATTGAGCAGGGAGGGATCTTTTTCGTACCAGCACCTACTGCGACACGGGACCTCGATTTATACGGTCTCATCCGAAGGACCGGTCTTCAAGTCCCACAGTGGGATCGAACCCGCGACGTAAGGATTGACTCCTTACTTCGCGACTCTAGAGCAGACGCTCTAACCACTGTTCCACGCGGGCGACTTCCAAAGATTAAGAATCTGCAGTCTTAAAAAATTGTCGTTTATTGACTTGATAAAGACTATATACAGAGTATTGTTCTGTTTTTTTTTGTTGTTGTTGAACGTCCCTCTTGAGAGATTTTCACTCATATGGAGACGACTCCACTTGTCGGTGGAGGGCTGCAACTTTTATATTCAGCATTTAGGGCCATTTATAAGTGAGAGATCTTTTACCTGCCAGCACCTGCTGCAACATGGGGCCTCAGATGAAAGACTTAATCCAAATGAGCGATCTCCATTATCCGAAGTGGGAATGAAAGGTTCAACTCCTTACCCCGCTATCATAGATCTCAAGTGAACGCTCATACCAATACGTTACGCGTGTGACTACATTGTGCGTGATAATTTATTGTTTTATATGTAATTATTTTTAAAATTCAGATTGAACACGATGTGTTTGTGAAACACTGATGCGCCCGCATAGCAGTTAAAGGCCAAGGTTAATGTTTTTTTTCTGATTTAAACCAAATTTAAGGTCAAATTTCAAATGTTGTTATCTAAAATAAGCTTAATTTACAATAATACTTCTGTGAACCCATAAAGCCCTAACAACAACTATTCAGATAGTAGGGATGGGTATCGCCAAAAATTTTGTATCGCGATATATCACGATTTTTTCCCACAATATCATGATAATACCATGATATTTTTAAAAGCAGTTTTTACAATGATTTGATATGAAAAGTCATTATTTTTCTAAACAATATGCTAGAAAAACAAAATTTTACTTTGTTGAAATTTTTATTTATATAAACTCAAATATGTTTGGACGGTAAGATGCCGTTCTTTTCACTTTTTACAATTTTTTTTATACTTTCTGTAATTGTTATTTGAAAGATTGAACAAATAAATGAATAATTTCAGGACTTTATAATATGTACCTACAGACTGGTATTTAGGTCTCCGTATCACGATACGTATCACGCAACAAAAAATCGCGATATACCGGTATACCGATAAAATCGCACATCCCTATCAGATAGTATGGGATCCAGCGTAAAATTTTTCAAAAGTAGCTATAGGCCATACAAAGGTCCTCATATCAAGATCAAAAATATAGAAATACATCAGAAATGTAAAAGGCAAACCCTTCAAATAATATAGCAAAGGTTAAAGTTTTTTTAAAGTAGGTCTCGCTGTTAGATCAAGGCCATAAGGTTAAACAAATTGGCCAAAACTTTAAACTTGAGCTGCCATATGGGGGCATCAATACATAAACTGATTTCAAAAAAATATGAAAAATGAAACTTTTCTAATTTTCAAAGCATTACGAATAAAACACTTGAAAACATCAATAATTTTTATTAACGGATAAATTACAATATTTTCCTTTGAAAATGTAGCAAAAACAAAAACATTTTACTTTTCTTTATAACACTAGGAGATCCAATAAAATATAATGATGTTAACGGTTATTTTTATAATACACGCACTGTATGCTTGACTTATTATCTTTGTGATGTTTAATTGCATGGTTTATGAGTATGACTAAATGAAAACGATTTTTATTTGAATCTAGGAATGTGGACACCTTGTTAAGTTGTATAGGTGACGCCTTACACGCCCAGAAGTGCAGTGAGGAGTCCATCACTCAGAAAGATAAACTGGTCCGGCCGCTAATCCGGGGTAGCCAGGAGTGTGATAAATCTGCTTACACTGTAAGTCTGTCTCTATATAAGGTTGCTTGTATTCATTTATTCTTTTATCCAAGGTATATCCTTATAAGTCTTTATTTAGTAGTCTTAAATGCAGTGTAGGCAGGATTGTGATAGACATATCAGAGTATGATACATGTAAATGTCTACACTGAAAGCTTGTAATGCAAACACGTGTCTAACAAACTACTACACCGAGTAATTGATCTACACGTAAATATAAAAAAAAATAATACAGTGTATTATATACAGTTTATTATATGATTGAATAATTTCCATCTCTCTGATGGCTGAGATCCAACTATGTTAGAAAAATACTACGTTGTATTGACCTGCACGTGACGTTCCAGGTGAATACAAGGATTCATTTCCTCTACATTGATCTAAAAATAGATCAGGAAATCCCAAATTCATACAAATTGTTTTGGAAAGATATTTAAACGATTGTAATTTTTTTTCATGTGAACAATACGTAAACAAATGGATATATTATTTTCGGGGAGGGTGGTAAGAGGGGATGCAGGGACCCCCTCCAACACTTTTACTGAACAACAATTTTTACTTTTTTGGCAGTCGGTTTTCCTTGATAATATTCCTTCCTTTCAAAATCTATCCTATGAAAAAGACTTGACATTATATATTTTTTCATGGCAATTAAAATTGATAAAAACATTTCAAATTGATACGACTGGTAAGGTTTAAATACATTTTAATTCTGCTTCTCTTTTGTATTTGGCTAGGACTTAATTAAATACAAACAAGTAATGAGCTGTATCATTTTATCAGTGAATCATAAAATAAAACAATTATTGCTGTTTTTGAGGTCAATACAATGATTTACCCATCTTCGAAGTACAATATTCACCTTGCCCTTCGGGCTCGGTGAATATGGTACTCCTCGGATGGCTAAATCATTGTACAGTGTATTGACCTAAAAAAAACAGCAATACATTGTAATTGTATAATATTCTTTGAGCATTGAAGCTTCCAGCTGAACGCGACTGGAAGAAAAGGTTTGAAGAAGGGGACCATTTCCCAGTAGTTGATGATTTCTATAGATAACTTTGATTAGTGGATTTAAAACTAATTTTACAGAGTACAGTGTATGTTACACAAGCTAATTTAATCCTTTAAGTGGACGTTTTAATCAGTTTCCTTCTTGAAGACTGCATTAAGGCATACACTTTGAGAATTAATGTTTAAAAATACATTTATAACAACTAGATATATGACTTACTTATGATAAGTGCTGTTTTAAATAAATTGACTCGGTGTAAACATATGACGTTTATATCAGAAAAATATGAAGAGCTGTTTATGAATTCCTCCCCCCAAACAGAATAGCTGAAGTCATGTTTAATCTCTCCCTCTCCTATAAAAACAACTGACAATGTCATCTGTTATCTAATTATTAGTTGGGCAGGAGATTTTTGGAGACAATTGTGTAAAAAGATTTAGACTATGATCTTGGTCGAGAGAATGTCTTGATTTTTATCGGTTGTAAGACGTTGAAAAAAAGAACATTTATGGCCTTCAGGGAAAATTTATTTTTTAAGTTTATAAGAACATTTAAAGCTTGATATTTAAACAGATTCTACATTTGGATTATTATGACAGACTGTGGTAGCGGAACAAAAGAAAAGACATGCATCAAAACGTATTTCCATTAGCTTTTACCATTTACGGGCGAGCTATAAAAAAGATAGAACCAGCGAAGTTTATTGCACCTGACAAATACCATTAACGACCAAAAAATCCGTCACAATTACCTATACAAAATATTCCCCACGCTTGTTTCCGCGGTTTACTCTGTTTTGAACTTGTTTAAATTGTTCAAATTCGATCACTCAAAATCGGTGAAATTAAAAGAGGTAAAACAATTAAATCATTTACCAACATTTCCTTAAAAAGTTTTTGAAAATTATAAAAAGTGGTTATAAAAGAAAGACTCGATTGTCTTCAAAAAGAAACAGAACTTTTTTCCGGCTTTATCCTATTATTGAATGAAAAAAAAAATCATGAAGTCACACTAAAAACTAACTTGATTTTCTTTTAAATTGCGCACTCATTCAACTTTTAACAGAAAATCTTTTGAGATAAATTTTTGAGATAAATAAACTTTCGGTGTCTAAAACTGTACACGTAGTCATGCCACTGCATATACCGTCTACACAAGTATTTTTCAAAACGTATACCTAAGTGATTTTTCACATCCAACAGCTGATTTTTGTCTACTTTTAATAAAGACATTGAATTTCATTAATGAATGTTTCATAAAAAAACGAAGGAGTTTTAAGATTAAGAATCATTAAATTCTTTTTTTTATTTTCAGGTTTCTAGTCAGAAGACAACGCCTTCACAGTTACAAAATGGCCGCCAATCCGGCACAAAGGGGAGGGATGGTACAAACACAGCAAGCTACTGCTTACCAAATCTAACATTAATTTTATCATTACTGTCGGTATTTTCATTAGTTCTGGGATTTTCATGACATGACAGTGTATGATAGACAATTGACTTTAGAATAGAAGAATGTGCATACTGCCGAATTTGACCGCATCATGACGTCACTCGGCATCCTTTGCTAATGACAAAGTAGGAAACGTGGTGGAGGAATGCGAGAAACTGTAGTTATACTTAGTGAAAGAGATGTTGAAATACATCAGAATATGCTTCCCGTGTAGGAATGTGTAAAGGAAAACATTCTGTATGTGAGTGCGCATGTGTGTGATTTGGCGTGTCCCGGTGGTTGGAGTTCTTAATATAAAATTTTATTTCATTTCCGGCCTGTTGGCAATTAAATCGTTCAAAGTGCTTATCACAGTCCTGGATTTGTGATTAGTTTTCGTAGAGATCATTTTAAAATGTACATGCTTTCTTTTAGGTCCAGCTTGAAGCAAATAAAATCAATGTAAAATATTGTTGCTCATGACTTGTAAGGCTTATTAAAAGCAGTGAACACTTTGATTGGTAAAACTTAGAATTTGTCTGTTTCTCTGCTCTAGTCCATTCAAAGTGCTCTTTTTTGTTTCATTGTTACACTTGCATTGATAAAGATATGTTTAAAACTGTTAAATAAAACCTATGAAAATACCTTGTCATTTTTACATAAATGTATATGTAGCTTATATTAAGTTCAACAGTTGGTGTTCTTTTCAGTGTTCGAATCAAGAAAGTAACAGGGGCGGTGCATATTAATTGTACGGCATCGTCGCAAACCACGGCCAAAATGTACGCTCCTCTCCCATTCTGGAGAGAGCTATATATATGCGGACCTCCGGACCGTGGTTTGAGACGATGATTGTACGGATAAAACGCTTAATTGACTTCTATAAAAGTCAAAATTATGAAAGGGAAAAAACAGATTTCATTTAGGTTAAATCAAAAGATACTTCATATCGTTGTAAAAAGCCACTCGGATACTGAAAAAGCCACTTGGGATTTACAGTGTAGTAGGAAAATTCACCAAGAATTTACAATAATGCAAAATCATTGGAAAGATAACATCTTTGAAAATTATGTATGTCAAACTTCAAGGTCAATGGGTTAAAAATCATCGTGTATTTAGAAAGGCCTTGTCAGAGGTAATACTAGTATACAAGTATGAAAGCCTTATCTTTAATCTTTCAAAAGTTTATTACAATTTTAAAAAGTAATGTTATTTTTTTTTTAAAGTAGGTCAAACTTCAAAGTAACGGTGTCAAAAATCATAGAATATTCACAGGTAATTCACACGTGCGGAATACGAAAGGCCCATCTCCTCTAATTCAAAATGTTCAAGTTTTTGTGATAGACTGAAATTTTCGCAAAAGCAAGGGATAGGAAGGGCCCTAGAATGTAAGATATTTAACTAAACCATTGATTCATATAGATAAGTAGCTATTAGTTTAATATTTTTTTTAGTGTAATTCATCTTTCAATGTTGACATATTTAAAAATTCCTTAGCATAAAAAGTGTTAGGTTAGGTTTTAAAGTTATAAATAACAATAATGTCTGATATATAAATCTCCTTATATCGGATGATAAATAGCATTCTTTTTTTTTTGAGTGTGCACTCTGTGTTAAGTGTCTAAGTATTGTATTTTACTATAAATTAAACAATGTAACGTATATTAATTTGAGAATCGAAGATACAGAAGTTTTTAGCTCATAAAGTCTGTTAAACCCCTTTTTTCGAACACTTTCAACGAAGGTACATGTAGATAACACCCCAAGAAAATTCCATGCAGCACCCTCAAAGTGCAGTTGTAAAAAAATAAATACTTGCAAAAATAAATCGTTTCATTTTTGAAAAAAACATGTATCAATTAACTAGTTATGACTGCCGTCACGAGAAAAGGGCCCTTAAGGTTAAATTTTTATAAATGGCAAATTTTGATAGCTGGACTCTTTTTGATGCATTGTACAAAGGAAGTGTCAAAGGAAAAGGGGGGGGGGGTTGTAACGAGCTGTTATGCATTTTTACTTCAAATTGGGGCAATTACCAATATACATGTAGACAGTTACACTGAATGAAAAGACTTACAATGATAAAAAAGTAAAGAAGAGTCACGTTTACAGATTTTAGAGAGTGTCATAGGTCATTGAATTATTATCAGAAGACAGGAAGGCTCAAAGAAGAGAGGTCGGAAGGAAACATTTAACACGGTATCTGATGTTGTCAAAAGAGAACGTGTATCTGTTGTGTAAATGTATTTGGACACTGTCTTATTATATTGTTCAAGGAATTTTGACAAAGGACTTTGTTATGAAAAGAGTGAATGCATAATGGCTACCAAGAATTCATTGAAGAATAGAAATTTGTGAGCATATTCCGAGAATCTCAAATAATTTTATTGGGAAACGTTTTTAAGTATGACGGCGAGTATCCATAACTTAACGTTATTTAGATGTGTCGACTACCAAATTCGCTCATTGTATATAATTCTATATTTTTTAAAGTATTATTTATCTTGAATCAAAATTTTCACTTCTGATTTGCAATAAATATAGCTTCCATCATTTATAATTATGTTGTTGTACGTCGACTAGTAGCAATTTTATTCAAGTTGTGACATTACTTTTGGATTAACCCTCGCATTTCACGCTCATTGAAGTTTTTAAAGATTTTTACAGTTTATGACTTTTTAAATTACACCCATAACCACTTGTCACATACATTTTGCTCTATCAGTTATGTATTCTCAAAAGATGCTGCACTATCGGACATCAGCCAGAAATTCCTACGTATTTTTGCTTAATCTATAGTGCTTTTTTCTTCTGGTTTACAAATATCCTCATTCATAATATCATTGTCGATGTAATATTGTTAATTTCGTCAACACTGGGTAAAATGCTTTTGGGAAAAGTCTATAATAGCTATATTTAATTTCTAAACATATTGCAATAAAATATTGAGTGGGATTTCATTCATTTATTTCATCGGAACAATTTAAGAAAATTGAAACATAGTAATTTTTACCATATAATTATCTTGAATGTATTTATTAAATTTTGATCATTTGTAAATTATTTTTTGAAACAAATTTATTTTTAACAAAATTTTCGTGGCATCCCCATCCTCCGCATCCCCCTTATTTCCTTAGCATATTATCTTACTGTTAATTTAGTATAGAATTATTTATTGTTGATGTAGAAGGGTTGGATCTCCCATGTTACATTTGTACCAGAATCTATATCCAATCAAAGATATGTTATGTTTTTTTAGCTTGAACTTTAACCGGTTGTCTTTTTATTTCGGAGATTTTTTTGTATACTTTTCATAAAACTAAAGGTGAAAATACAATCCAGTTTGTGAAGTAAGTATTAAGAGCCAAGTTCTAATAATTGAAAGGTATGACAAAACTTTTTCTACGGAAAAAAATCATTGTCAAAAATTCTTGAATGGTAAAAAGGTGAGAACTTCTTGGTATTTGAACGTAAGCAAGATTGCTATCAGACTAAAACTGAAGGAGGATTCGATTTTTCAATTATTATTATTATTAAAGTTACAGAAATGTCAATTAAAGTTACCATGGCGACTATATCAATATAGAAAAAAACAATGGAAGACAATTATGTTTCTATTGTGTTGTCTGATTGCATGCCATATCATATCAAAATCAAACCAAACTTCTTTTACAACAAGCAACAACATTCAAAGTTGTTTACCATTACAAATTTGTGTTCCAATTTTAACATTAAACAAGAGCTAGGCCAAATTCGGCATATACCCTACAATGTTCTTGTTAGATTTTACATATAATGCAATATTAACGTGATTTGAAATAACATCGATTCATTTATTTTTTTGAGATTTAATTTTCACTATCTTAGTTTACATCTCTGTATGAGCAAAACAAAAATTCTTTAATAGAACGTTAATCAAAATACACTCGGTAAATTTACTTTGCTTTTATGACCACCTCCTTTATAATCGCTTTTTTTTCACAACATATTCACTACAAAACATATCGCATGCATTGAACCACCATTGACAGATGTATACTGCACTATGTTAAACGTTTTAGCAATCGTTTAAAAAAACAATATTACTTCACTCTGTTCGTCAAACCCTAACCCCCTTTCCCCTTCTCTACCCCAATTCAATAATCTTGATGTTTTGATTTATCATTTGTCAAATAGCACTGAAGTTATCACTTTTAAAACTGGATTTTTTGTACCACTGAGCACCTTTTTTACAACAAAGCTTTGAAACATTTTAAATGTCGTCGAAGTCTTTAGGCTTGACAATCAGAGCCTGTATGTCCATGACATTAGTCCCGGTAAGGCCAGTCTTTACAATATATGAACCCTCGTCCAGCTCAGAAAACAAGCTATAACTGTCATTGTTTTCCAGGAAACTAACCATATTCAGACCTTGTTCAGCACTTCTCTGACCCGTTTTGTCGTCTGCTATCGCTCCCGTGGCGTCTGTCGGTCCATCTTGTCCGTCTGTCCCTCCGCTCAGAAATTCAATGGAGAAATTATTCAACTTCTCTTCCTCTGCAAAGGCTTTTTCTAAACATATTCCAAATGACAGCACCATTTCTTGGTTACGCCCACCCTTACCTTGACCTTTGACCTTAACAACGGTCTCACCTCCGCTGATGACACAGACCCCTTTACGACAGTTATAAGCTTTCCTGGTAATAGAGTTTAATTCATTCAATATTGTCTTCTCAAAACCAAACTGCGCCAGTTTTAACTCTAACTGGACCAGTGATATTGAGCCTCCGTCACGTGACGGTTTGTAAGTATATAACAGTGCTATGTATTGGGCGATATCTACAAAGGTTTCTCCTACATGGCGTGCCTCACCCTCCAGAGACACACTCATGACAAACGGCAGGAGTCCGAGTTCTTCTGCCTTATTTTCTGCGGCCTGCGTTGCCATAGTGTTATTTCCAACAATGAAATTCTTGACATGTTGGAATTCGGACCATGGCGTGGTGTATCCCGCCTCTGGTTTCTTTAATGACGGCATCTTTGCAAACTCGACGGACTTTTTAAATAGGAATTCTTTGACAGACTTGGGGACTTGCTGTTGGACTTTCAGTTCCTTGAAGATGTCCATGCACATCTGAGGGGACGACACGTTGAATACAGTGGGAGCGCTGGCTATGATGTCCAGTTTGTCTCCAACGACATCTGACAGGATAAGCGAGATCACCTAAAAATAGAACAGGAAACCCAATATAGTGTCACTTAATTTCGGGTAGGATATAGACAAAAATAAAAACACCACATCATTTATCGAAAATTAACAGTTTCATTCCGTTTTTATTTAAAACATGTGTGTAAACTAAAAAAAGCTCAGCTAGAAAATTCCGAACCCGCCCCCCCTCCCCCTACCTGTGCTGGAAGAGCCGCCTTGGCCAGGCCTCCGCCCTTTAACTCCTCAATGTGTTTTCTAATGGTGTTGAGGTCGTTAATAGTAGCACCGTTTTGGGACAACATCTTTGTTAAGGAGACCTCCTCCTCCAGCGTTATCGGCGGGCATGGTAACGGTAAAAGAGCGGATCCGCCACCTCAACAAAAAAAAAATTAATAGTGCAGTACTTTGTAAATAAAATGTTAATATAGTTGTTAAGATAAACTGAATCATTCTTAATGTTTGTATGTTTTTTAAAAATTAATTACAGTTTGAAATGATGATCGGACGATGTTGAACAATGCAATGAACAATCGAAGGGACATAACTCTAACTAGTAGTCTATACAACTACGTTTTAAGTAAAAACTGCACATTAATTTATCGATATTTCTCTGTAAATAACTGCATAAGATTTGCCTAGAAATTTTTTTCTGTATGAGTATGTTTTTTTTAAATGTATTTTTTTTTTATAGATTCGATGTGAAGTCTCTCTGGTGTGATCAAAATGAAAGAAAACATCATCATCCTAGGCTTGCATTCATGTACATTCTGAACTATGATCTCTTTGAAACATATAATGGTTTTGTCTGTTTATCTATAGTCACTGTAACATTTTGTCCAAGGAATATATAAGTGTATAATTATTATCAGATCAAAATGTTCTTTAATTTTTTTGTTTGGCAATCTAAATTAATTATTATAAACACGACATTAATACACATGTATACTTTTTTTCAACAACAGGTACTTGTGGACAGGACCCCCCCCCCCCCCCCCGATATTCAACCCCGGGGCTTATTGGATATTCTTCCCACAAATTATATTTATACACTTATTCATCATGTTTACAATAGGAAAAAATCGTAAAAACCTGAAAATTAACTGATCCACAAAAAAAAAAACCCAGTAGGATAATGTATAGTGGGGTATTTTTTGTGGAGCGATTACTTTCGGGTGGAAAAAAAATGTCCAATAAGCCCCGGGGTTGAATATCGGGGGTGGGGGTCCTATCCACAAGTACCTGGCTTTGAACATTTTAAAATAATTTAATTTCACTTGTTTCAAGCAATTTCAATGGCTGAATCAATCAGAGGAACATATAATATTTTGTATAACATAACTTGCCTACGTCACAATGAGTTACGTCTAAAAACGTATTACTCCACTTGATGTTACTTTTAAAATATGCTATATTTGACAATTTTCTCATTGTCTACACTGAAATTAAATTATAAGGAATGAAGCTAATTTTAACTTATGTTATGCGATATAACATAACTTCGCGGTTTATAAAGCGTAAACTGGCCCAAGTTATGTGATATCGTATAATAAAAGTTGAAATAAGCTTCATTCCTTAATTGTTTTGCCTAAAAAATACATGTATTGCTTTCATAATTTTATTATCAAACATAGTTTCTTGACATTATTTTTGACTGTCACGTAATTTTTAAAGTAAAACACATGTTTTATATTATAAAATGAGTATTTATTGTATGCATTTTTCTTTGCAATTGATAAATATCTACATTGTATTAAAGTTTAATTTGTATTTCAGGGAATCTATATCAGTAGAAACTGTACATAAGAGTATCTATTAAAATGCTACCAAATGCCATTTCATGGGATGCCTTCAAACGCTATAATGATCTTGAGTTTCCAAAAGCCTTTGAGGTTTTGCGATGAAATTTTACATAACAGCACCCTATGGCTTTAACAAGACCCCTACTGACTTTGAGGTGTAAAGTTTAAGGGGCAATATCCCTCTGATAAGAGAGATAACTTCCAGAAAACAATTTCCCATGATATTCTATGAATTGTCATGTCAGATTTCATTGGTTTCATTCATAAGGACCATTTTATAGTCAACCCAATCAAAACTCTTTTAATGTTCGGATGTTGATTTCTAGTTCCTATTGCCAATATTTTTATTAATTATTTATAATAGCTTACCTTAAACATTTACACTCAGTTCCTTTCAACAGTGTAAATTGAGATATTTCTATCTCTTAACGTATAAGTAATTTACTAGTAATTGTTACAGAAGTTTCAGAATTGTTTGTAAACATTTAATTAATATTTTGTTTCACTAAAAATATTTTCAAGGGCGATAATGGAAAGATAACTGTTGTTGATTGATGCGTATTATTTTACTAGCACAGAGAACAATCTGATATTCTGATTTAAAAAGCAGGCTTCAGTATGTTTTCTAATGAGAATTAGATAGGTATGAGAGTAAGTATTATTTCTATATATACCTCATATTTCTAATTTTATTGTGAGATAAGAAATAATTGATCTTACTATTAACCATATCAAATTTTCTTCACATCATGATTTGACATATTATTAATTTCTGGAAAAGTAAGCAAAGCTTCATACTTCAAACTATTTTCCATTTGAATTTAATGCTACAGTTGTTGATGAAAATCAATGTTTGGAACTTAAAAAAAAAATCGTGAAATTTGGAGCAGAGGGATATTGCCCGTTAAAGGTCAAGGTAATAAATTTATAAATACTGTTTTAGAACTTCCATTTCCCTGTAATATCTTGAGAAGTTTTTGAGTTTTTACAATGAAACTTTAAATCACAACTCCCAATGGCCTATGGAAAACCCTTATTGATTTTGAGGTCAAAAGGTCAAGGATTAAAGTTAAAAATTCATACTGTCTGTGTATAAAAAAATTCATTACTTATTTCAATTTACTAAATAAAGAACTCAATAATTATTCACTTACCGGTATTTTACTTTCTTTACCATGTTTACTTTTCTTTTTTTAACTTTCAATTAAATCTAAATGCTTTGTCTTTCTTGGTTTTATACATCTTTACACTTTGCTATTCCTTCTTCAGCCATGTAATATTGTCTATTTATTATATTGTATGTACATACATGTACATGTAGTTCTCTACACTACTTTGTCAGTTATAATGGTTATGAAAATAAAGTTCATTCATTCTAAATTCAGTTGCAGTCAATGAAAAAAAAACATTCTCCAAATGATCAATGCAAACATGTTAGCAAATTACCTAGGAGTGTATTTAGAGCAAAAGAGCTATACAATACTATGCCTATATAACATCAATTTACAGAGAAAGAAGTCTCAAAATGAAGTTGATGGGAAAAACAGAAAAAATGTTCTGGGTATAAAAAACATGTACCAGCCCAGTGTCCTAGATATAAGTACCTGATATAAGAACTATAAGGATATGTTGATCGGTCAGGGTGGACACTAATTTCTTGATGGACACTGCTGCAGCCTGGGCGTCATGGTCCGGCAGGTTATTTTTAGCTCCTTCCATGACCTTCAACTTGGTGTTTTCCCTCAGCCAAAGATCCCTAAAATCAAAAACACAAACAAAGATCAAAGGTATTGCTTTTTGTTCATGTAAATGTATGATTATTGATGGTACAAGTAAGTTCTAACAATGGTACAGTAAAAATCCACTGAATATTTCCTGACCAACAGGTACACTGATATACAGTTTATTGGGAAGTACATGTAACAATAATGAAAAGTATCAATCAAAAATTTTATAATGGAAAACTTAAGGTCAGAAAACAAGTTCCTCAAAAATATATACAGTAAAACTCTGTTATAACAAAGTCACTGGGACCTGTGAAGTTACTTCCCTATATCCGTAATTCGTTATAACCATATAAGAAAGTAATTAAATTCATATTGCAGGGGATCCAAGATGACTTCGCTATATCCGTAAATTCGCAATATCCTGTGTACTAAACGAGTTTTGCTGTAATTGTTTATAGGAATTTGTCATTGAAGAATAGGTACTTAAACAAGATTTCTCACAAAAAATTAGGGTACCTCACCAGGCATTAGGACAAGATAACCATTATGGGTAATCTTCTGAATGGCCTATATCACAATTTTTGGTGTACTTATGTTAAAAACATTTTGAAAACAATGTAGAAATCTTAAGAAAATGACAAACATGAATATTTTTTTATGTAATACCATGAGATACAAGGCATATATTAGAGGAACGTGTCATCTGACTTTATAAGCATCATATTCATATATGTATTGTTTGGTTCAATTGAATAACTTGCATAAATTGATCATGAAGCTAGTGTAAAATTGAGCAAATGAGATTTGTTAAGAGGAAAACTGGGACTAACATCTTTCCAAGTTCTTTAAGAGTTTGGCCTAGACCATGTGGTACACTAAGGATGCCACCAATGAGGTGGTTCTGTAGTTGGTCCTCTACCGCCCGAGCCATTCCTGCCACCGCCTTACCGAAGCCCACCACATAAACATTGTTATCCAGACTGTACTCCTGACCTCCCACATGTAAACTATTATCTTCCACCTTCAGGGCCCTGAAAATGAGCAACAATTCAAATTATTATTACCGTATAAGTAGAATTTTTAGTGAGGATTTAATTTTGGCATTATTAGCGAGGGTGCTGACATCGCTAAAATTGAATATCACTAAAAATTAATTGCATATTATATGTAATAGCTTCTTTAGTTAGCATTTTAAAATCACTAAAATTACTTCTCGCTAAAAATAAAATACCAGATTTTAGGAAGAAATCACTAAATTTGCGTCTCTCTAAAATTTCCACTTATATGGTATATCTTAATTCATTTGCCTGTAACATGTAACATGTAACTCAGAGTCAAGTGTTTTATTTCAACCTTCATTACAACATTACCTTCCAATCATCTCTGAAGGTAGAACAGAGGATATGGCTGCATCCAGTATGTCCCTGAGTTCCTTGTGTTTTTCTGATGGCATGGTGAGGTTCAATGATACTGACCCTGGATTTACTGTTGTGTAGAATTGTGTTAATGAAGATTGAAAATTGTGTCGAGGCGTAGTATTCACTGATGCCCTAGGCAATGATATTGCACGAAGGAAACACACTCTTAATCTGCAATAAACATGATACATGTAAAATAAAATTCACTGTTTTTTACCATACAAGTATATAACAAGATCAAAGGGGCTTGCTCCCGGCGTGTAATAATTATTTATTAAAAAATCATATACCGTAATAGTTTTATCAGTCTAGTCGAACCGTCAAACGGGGGTAAACGGATGTTGGATATCCGTACCTTCAAACGGGGGTACGGCGCATGCGCAGAAACTCAAAAAGTGCCGTTTTCACGGGAAAACGTGTGGTCCACAAAATATGCTCGTGCAAAGTGATGGATTATTTCGTAGCTCTGTATGTACTCAAATTTGATAGATTAAAGATGTTTAAAGAGATTGTATTGTCAAAAAGTATATGTTTATTGTAAAAATCGAGACTTTTTCTCCCCCAAAGTTAGCGTATTCTGTGCCTTGACCTCCATGCTTGATACAACTTGATTTTTTATTCATAATTTAATAAAACGGATTTATAAACAAACAATTGCTTGTTTAAAGTTGAACTACATATAATTCCCTTCCCCGGTAATAAAAATCTTGTGTAATTAGCGTGTTATTTATTATTTTTCGACACTTTCTTTGTGCATGTTCGAATTTCCTCTGTCCTGTAAACAAACTTTTGTGTCTCAGAAATGACGTAAATAAAGACAAAAACATTTTTATTATTTTTTTTAAATTGAAAACAAAGGTGTAGGCAATTCATTTTTGTATGTTTATGATTTTTAAAAAAAATATTTATTTTTTAAATAAGAAGAGTTATCGTTCTTCCGCTTTCGAGCGTTGCATTTAGGGAAGGAAAACCCTCGTTTGAGGGTATACCCCGGTTTGAGGGTTCGACTAGACTGTTTATTATTACGGTATATGATTTTTTTAATAAATAATTATTACACGCTGGGAGCAAGTCCCTGTGAAAAGATCAAATTGCATATGGGATTTACTGCAAATAGCAGTAAAAAAAAATAATGACACAAACATTAGGAAAGAGCATTCCAACTTAAAGACATTTCTCATGAGAAAAAATATTAATCCTTAGGCCTACCCTCGTTTCATCAACATTACAGAAGACAAACAACCACAAAGACATCACACAAATGCAGCTTTTTTAAGAAACTCCTCCAAGCATGGCAAGTCCATTTCTGCGTAGTTTTACTACAAGGAAAAAAATAATACATAACAACATTTGTTTACACCAAGATCATGATGTATCTTTCTCATCTCACCACGTCATGGTCATGAATATTTTAAAAATAAACATCCGAATAACTCACTCACCTCAGATTTTCCGTCTAATCCTGATGACTACAGCAATAAAACCTATCGTGGGCAATGACGGTATTCATCTCTCTCATCCTTTATCTTTAACCTGAGGTCACGGTACATAGAAATGTCTCATGTCCCAATCAAGGACGAATGTAAACATTAGAGTGATCGTTCCTAACGATCTTCCTGACTGATTCTACTTTTTGAAATGTAACGTTACTAATTCCGGATTGACGCACTTAATTGTGTCCTGCTTTCGCGAAAGCAAGGGGACATTAAATCTCTTCGTGAGTACGTTTAGCTGTGGGAGAGGACACTCGTCTGCCACAGAAACTTTAAATTTGTTCAGCTTGTGAGTGAGAAAAGATAGGCTTTTCATAATTTCACAATAATGTTTATTATGATATGACCTTTCCAGATATACTATGATTTTTTTTGACTATTTCACATTGTCCTTGAAGTTTGACCTACTTTTTAAAAAAATACATTACTTTGAATTGGTCAAACTTTTGAAAGAGAAACGACAGGGTTCATTTTAAACATGTACATAATTAACATGACATGCAAGACCTTTAATTCAAATATACTGTACTATGAACTTTGACCATGTGACCTTGACCTTGAAGTTAAACCTGGTTTAATAAAATGCTTTGGAAACAAATTTTGATGAAGAAGATATTAGGCTTTCAAATATGACATGTGCATTACCTGTGACAAGATGTTTTGAGCATGAGCACTATGAATTTTGACCCCTAGCTTTACCTTGATCTTAAGATTTTTTTTTTTTAATTTCAACATGTTCAATTTAAAAAAAAAAAAAAACTTTGGTGAAAACTTTTGAATGATGTATGATAAGATATAAAGTAACATATTCGACATAGGTTGCCTTATATCATGACATCTCAGCCTCGAAAACATTAAAAATGGAGGGGGCACAATTCTATGGCGAGGACCTCGGGAGTTGTTAGAACTTGTGTTCAAACCATTGTATAGAATTTATACAATAAAATACATGTATGTTCAAACCAATTCTTTAAATTTTATTGTTTGAACACTTTTTGGCCCCCGCACTTTTTTTTTCCAACATTACCATTACTATTGAAAATGTCCATTGAAAGGTCGGTTTTTGCTTGTCAACTTTTATAGGTAAGTAAAAAAAAATTTCTGTGGTTGCCCCCTTTCAAAAACGATGCTACGTGCCTGGGTATATAGTTTTTGCCCCCGTGCTTCCATCCGCCAGTGTTTCTAATGAATTTGTGTATTTTCCCCAAAACCTTTAACCTTGCTTACAACTTTTGATTATTTTGAGCTTGGCTTTTTCATTTCACATGTGTATTCCCTGTCCCAGGATCTTCCTTTGGAAGAGTATCAACATATTTAACGTTTTGACCTCGGTGTGTAACTCAATTAAAACAAGATGTGTTTGGGAAACACAGATGCACCCGTATCGCAACATAGCGAAGGTTAAGTTTTCTCAAATGCAGATCAAATATGCTGGGACCTAAAGTAAGGCCTTTTCACAAGAAATACAAATGTGAAATATATGACCAAGGTTAATGTTTTTTAAAGGTAGAACAAACTTCGGGGTCAAGGTCAAAGAATCAAGGTTGTTCATTTATTTAAAAAAAAGGCCTTGTCCGAAAGATTACATTTGGAAAGTATAAAAGCGCTGGTCCTTAGCGTTTAATGGTTATGACCAAGATTATAGTTTGTAAAAAGTAGGTCAAACTCCAAGGTCAAAGGGTCAAATTTGTTGATATCCAATGAAAGGTCTTGTCACAAAGATTAAATATGTAAAGGACGAATGCTTTAGCCCTAACTGTTCAAAAATTATGGCAACGAATAAAGTTTAAAAAAGCAGGTCAAACTCGAAGGTCAAGGTGAAAGGGACAACGTTGTTGATATCCAATGAAAGGTCTTCTCACAAGGATTACAGATTTTGAAGTATGAAAGCCCTAGCCCTAACCGTTCAAAAGTTATAGCCAAGGTTAATGTTTTCTCGTAAGCACGGAATTCTCCAATATCAAGGTCAAAAGGTCAAAAGTGTTGATTTCAAATGAAAGGTCTTGCCACAAAGAATTGATATTTAAAATATGAAATGCCTAGTATCTACCGATTTAAAATTAGGGCTAAAAAATTCGCTGAAAGTTTTGGTTTTTTCTGTAATAATGGGTTAAACTCCAAGGCCAAGGTCAAAAGATCAAGATTCTTGATATGAAATGAGAGATCTTGTCACAATGATTAAATACGTGAAGTATGAAATCCCTAGTCCTAATCACTCAAAAATTATGTTCAACGTTGTATTTAGATTAAACTCCAAGGTCAAGGTCAAAGGGTCAAAGTTCTTGGTATCCAATAAAGCGTCTTTTCACAAGAATTAAATGTGTGAAGTATGAAATTCCCAGCCCTTACCGTTCAAAAGATATTGACATGGAAATCTCTAAGGTAAAGGTCAAAAGGTCAAAGTTGCTGGTATCCAATGAAAGGTCTTGTCACAGAAATTAAATATGTGAAGAACGAAAGCGCTAGCCTATACTGTTGGAAAGTTATGGCCAAAGTAAAAGTTAAGAATTTTTGTGTAGAAGTGGGTCAAACTCCACGATCAAGGTCAAAAGGTCAAATTTGGTGGTACCTAAAGAAAGGATACACATGTGAAATATGAAAGTCATAGCTCCACTAAATCAAAAGCTATGGACAAGGTTACAGTTTTTGCGGACAAACAGACAGAGAGACAGACAGACAAACAGACGGAGACGACAAAAACTATATACCCCCGAAACTTCGTTTACGGGGGCATAAAAAATCGCTTAATAACTTAGTGTGCTTCATGTAATCATCTCCTGTCTCATAAAAGTTATGTGCCTTTGTCTCTCTTCCACTTTACTATCCTGAGAGTGTCCAATCTTAAAATATGTAATCTCTTTGACATGTTTCCAGTTTCACCATATTTAGTGAGCTGAAAGTGTTTCCAGTATTACAATATTTTGTATGCTGAAAGTGTTTCCAATCTCACCATATTTAGTGAGCTGAAAGTGTTCCAGTATTACAATATTTAATGTGCTGAATGTGTTTCCAGTCTCACATATTTAGTGAGCTGAAAGTGTTTCGAATCTTACAATGAATTATGTGCTGAAAGTGATTCAATTATTACAATATTTAATGTGCTGAATGTGTTTCCAGTCTCACATATTTAGTGAGCTGAAAGTGTTTCGAGTCTTACAATAAATTATGTGCTGAAAGTGATTCAATTATTACAATATTTAATGTGCTGAATGTGTTTCCAGTCTCACATATTTAGTGAGCTGAAAGTGTTTCGAGTCTTACAATAAATTATGTGCTGAAAGTGATTCAATTATTACAATATTTAATGTGCTGAATGTGTTTCCAGTCTCACATATTTAGTGAGCTGAAAGTGTTTCGAGTCTTACAATGAATTATGTGCTGAAAGTGATTCAATTATTACAATATTTAATGTGCTGAAAGTGTTTCAAGACTTGCAATATTTAGTGTGCTGAAAGTATTTCCAGAATTGCAATATTTTGTGTGCTAAAAGTGTTTCCAGTAATACAATATTTAATGTGCTGAAAGTGCTTCCAATCTTACAGTATTAAGTGTGCTGAAAGTGTTTCAAGGACTGCAATATTTTTTGTGCTGAAGGTGTTTCCAGTATTACAATATTTAATGTGCTGAAAGTGTTTAAAGTATTACAATATAAAGTGTGCTGAAAGTGTTTCCAGTCAAACCATATTTAGTGAGCTGAAAGTGTTCCCAGTTTTGCAATAGTTAGTGTGCTGAAAGGTTTTCCTGTTTTATAATATCTAATGTGCTGAATGTATTTCCAGTTTTACAATATTTAGTGTGCTGAAAGTGTTTCCAATCTCACCATATTTAGTGAGCTGTGTTAAGTGTTTTCATTCCTGCAATATTTAGTGTATTGAAAGTGTTTCCAATTAAAAAATATTTAGTGTGCTGAATGTGATTCCGGCATTGCAATAATAAGTGTGCTGAATTGTTTCCAGTCTAATAATATTAAGTGAGCTGAAAGTGTTTCCGGTATTACAAAATTTAGTGTGCTGAAAGTGTTTCCAGTCTTACAATATTTAGTGTGCTGAAAGTGTTTCCAGTCTTGCAATATTAAGTGTGTTGCAAGTGTTTCAGTCTCACCATATTTAGTGTGCTGAAAGTGTTTTCAATCTTACAATATTAAGTGTGCTGAAAGTGTTTCCAGAATTGCAATATTAAGTGTACTGAAAGTATTTCCAAAATTGCAATATTTTGTGTGCTGAAAATGTTTCCAGAATTGCAATAGTTAGTGTGCTGAAAGTATTTCCAGTATTACAATTTTTAGTGTGCTGAAAATGTTTCCAATCTTACAATATTAAGTGTGCTGAAAATATTTCCAGAATTGCAATATTAAGTGTACTGAAAGTATTTCCAAAATTGTAATATTTTGTGTGCTGAAAGTGTTTACAGAGTTGCAATATTTAGTGTACTGAAAGTGTTTCTAGTCTTACAAAATTTAGTGAGCTGAGAGTGTTTCCAGTCTTACAATAAATTATATTCTGAAAACGATTCAAGTATTACAATATTTAGTATGCTGAATGTGTCCCAGGAATTACAAAATTTAGTGTGCAGAAAGTGTTTCCAGTAAAACAATATTTTTTCTGCTGTAATGATTGTCTCTCCAGCATTATAATATTTAGTGTGTTGAATGTGTCTCTAGTTTTACAATATTTAGTGTGTTGAATGTGACTCCAGTCTTACAATATTTAGTGTACTGAAAGTGTTACCAGTATTACAATGTTTAGTGTACTGAAAGTGTTACCAGTATTACAATATTTAGTGTACTGATTGTGTTTCCAGTCTCACCATATTTAATGTGCTGAAAGTTTTTCCAGTTTTACAACATTTATTGTGCTGAAAGATTTCCCAGTGTTACAATATTAAGTTTGCTGGAAGTGTTTCCAGTATTACAATATTGAGTGTACTGAAAGTGTTTCCAGTATTATAATATTAAGTGTACTTAAAATGTTTCCAGTCTTACAATATTTAGTGTATTGAGAGTGTTTCTAGTATTACAATATTTAGTGTACTGAAAGTGTTACCAGTATTACAATATTTTGTGTAATGAAAGTGTTTCCAGTATTAGAAAATTTAGTATACT